CTATTGTGTGTATCACAATCACACTCGTGCTTCATTTGGGCCACGTGTGGGTATATCCGCTCATATTTCATTCATTTGTTTAAACAATAACCGAGAAAAATTGTAAATTATTCATAGGAGTATTTATCTTCCTAAGAATTCTGTGCAGTTGAAAAATTAAAAATAATAAACCTTTTTTTGTTCGAGATCATTTTACTTAAATGTTTTATTTTTTGTTTTGCTGAAATGATGCAAATGAAAATGATGCTGATGCATGATTCTGCCATTGCAGATAATGATTCAAAGAAAAAAGTGGGAGTGTCTGGCCACAGCATAATCATTATCGTTGAGATAAATACAAAAATAATAAATGGGTTTCTCCAAATGGAAAGAAAATAAAAATAGATTTTTATGTACTCCGGTGAATTTAAAGTTGCAGTTTATTTATTACCACACAATGATGCAATTTTAAATGTAAATTGTTTGTGGATTCGATTTTTTAATTAAATTTTTGTTTTTAATATATTTAAAAAGAAATAGGTGCAGCTGAGCATCTGTCAGTGCCCGCATCCAGATCGAATTACTCAACAGAATTCAAAACTATTATGACCTTAGTTTCAAAAATACTTTCAATGGTATTGTGTCATATCTAGATTGTATTAAAGTGGCCTGAATGTTGATGAAGGAATTAGTAAATTATTTATTTATAATATCAAGTTTAGTGGAAATCGATTATCTTTATATATAAACGAGTAAAAAAGGAGTGACTGACTGACTGATTCATCAACGCCCAGGCGAAATGGCTAGTACCAAAAGTACTTGACATTTGTTACAAAAGTTAAGTTTGGGAAAAACTAAGTGTAACAATTGTTCCAAATGGTACTAAATTCCAGAAAAATTGTATTGGTTGAACGAGCGGATTTGGGAATTGGGATTTGGATCTCTGCTGGTGGTATGGTTAGGATAAAGAGTTCTGTTGGGAAATCTGTTTAGCTAGTATACGAAAGGCACTAAATCTAGTTGGTATTGCGTGAATGGATACAGCCCGAAATCTGAAATATGGCATTAGGATTGCTTTTAGTGTGTAGAGTTGAGATTACGGATGGTTTTGGAAATGCGTACAAAAAGGTATAAATTTGGTATTAAATTTGTTATTTAAGTAAGGGATAGTGTAGGAAGTCTAAAATTGGGCATTAGGATCATCTTTTGTGTTGTTTTGTTAATACATCGTGGGGGATTTGAGAATACATACTAAAAGTACGAGAATTACTAGATAGTATTAATTTTTGTGTTCGGTGAGATGGAATTTTTAAATTGTGAGTGAGAATCTTTGATGTCTTTGACAAACTAAACGGTTTACGAAAATCTTAAAATACTTCTACCAAAAGTACTAAAATGCACCAAATTTGGTACCATTTGAAATTAGGTGAACGGATAGTGGCAATTTGATATGAAAATCAATTCTAGGACATGGAATTGATCTAAGGAAGTTGCTTTGAAATTTGTACTAAGTGTAAGAACTTTGCTAAATGGTACTAAATTTGTCACATTTTCGTTTTGGGTGAACGGAAAAAACTGGTAAATTGAAATGATGATGAGGTGGCTTTGGAAATGTTTAATACAAGTACCACCTATTTGGTATAATTTTTTTTTATTTTTTGAAATCTGAAATTTGGTATAAGGGTCACTGTTAATGAGTAGCCTGGACATATGAAGGTGGTTTCGGAAATGTGCACTATAAGTACTGAATGGAACTATATTTAATATTACATGAAGAGATATAGATAAAATTGAAATTTGATATTTAGATGACTGATGGTATATGTGTTGGAGATTTGGCTGTGGCTTAGAAATACCTCCCATTTTTTTAAAAAAGGTACTAAATGGTACTAAATTGGTTATTGGTTCAAGGGCTGGAATACTCAGGATTGATATTAAGGACTCTGTAGGTATCTGGAGTTCAGATATGGAGGTGGTTTTAAAAGTGTGTACTATAATTGTACGAAAATTACTAAATAGTACTGAATTTGTAATTGCGTGAAGGAATAGAACTGATATTTGATATATATGTTGGTGCCTGTCGTTAAGATATGGAGATGACTAAGTGGTAGTAAATTGGGTATGGAGTGAAGGAATAAGCTGGAATCTCGGATTTGATATTAAGTTGAAATTGTTTGGGAAAAAAGGTTGAATGAGGTTCTTGGTAAACTCCATAATGAAATATTTTAAAGACATTTTGGTGTGTAAGATAACCATTTTTTCTCTTATTCTTTCCGAAAAAAGAAATACATAAATAATATATAAAACCTTGAAAGTCTGAAAATTTACCTGGGCCGAACTTTTTATACCCTCCACCATTTGCAAGAAACTTGAAAAATGTGAAACAAATTTTGTCGAAAAATACCGCTCGAATGAAACCCGCTATATGGGGGCTATACAAAGACGTGGTCCTGCATAAGTAACTTGTGTCATAAGCTGTAACAACGGTTCCGAACTTTATATGCGAAATTTGAAATAATTCCGGTGAATAATGTCGCAAAAATCATGAAAATATCAAATATCTGAGGGTACCAATATATCGGTGCCATACTAAAACGTGGACCTATTTAGACAATTTTCTTCTAAGGGTAAAGTACTCATAAGGAACCCCTTGTGTGGATTTTAAGACAATTCTATTAAAAATCGTAGCAGAAATCATTAAAATACCGAATATCGGAAAGTGCAGTTATATGGGGGATATACGACATCGTTGACCTATATAAACAATTCTCTTCCAGGGGGTAAGAAAGAACTTCTTGTGTAGAATTTGCAGACAATTCCGTTGAAAAACTTGGCTAAAATCATCAAAAAATCGAATATCAGGATATCGTTATATGGGGGCTATACGATACCGTGGACTTATATAGACAATTCACTTCTAGGGGTTAAGGTACTCACAAGGAACTATTTGTGTGAATTTTCAGACAATTCCGTTGAAAAATTTGGCTAAAAGTCCATCTTCAAACTTGGCCTGTCTGCAGACAAAAGACAGATCTGTGCAAAATTTTCGCTTCCTATCTTAATTCGTTTTGACTGTTGAGTGATTACAACAGACTGACGCACGTCTTAGAATTTTACGCTGAACAAGAATATATATACTTTGTTGGGTCTAAAATTATTATTTCGATGAGTTACAAACAAAGTGAAGAACTCAATATACCCTTCATACTATGTATGGTGGAGGGTATCAGAAGGCCCAACACGAAATGTTGGAACGAATGTAAAATTTTAAGATGGTCTTGATGGTCTAGCTTGGTAGTTTAAAATATTATTCCAAAAGCTATATGTTAAATAATATTGACTGTACCTTTATTTCAACAGACAAACAGAAGGAATAAGCTGGAATCTCGGACAAGGGGTCTTCGGTTAATATTCTGTAAAAAATATTCTACGAATATAAAATATTTTCAGCAACATTTTGTGAAAGATGAATTTTGAACAGCGCATTTGAGGTCGATAATCTGTTCAAATTTAATTGAGACACCCAATTTTTAATATATGACCGAATGCATTATATTTTGGAACAAACGACAAAATCCAGCCTAGGTTAGTGATTTTTTTTCGATTCAGACAATATATAATGGTACGTTTTTGTCCAATTGAGCTTATTTTGGCACTTGTTCCGACTAGAGCAAGGTATGACAAGATTGAACCAATTCGATTCAAATATACATACAGCTCCCAAATTTATGTTTCAAGAGATTTGGATTTTAAGTCTTTTACATTTAAGAGAAAGTTAATATTTTTTTTTTGTATTTCACGACTATTGTTTTAAAATGTAAGGTTGGCCCAAAAGTGGCCGCTTTTAATTAACAATAAATATATAATGTTTTAACACTGATTTGTTGAAGATTCCCAAAGGCAAAAAGAAATTGACTGCTGAGCGGACTCTAGTTCTTGAGCAGCGCTGTTTAAACCATTCTGTTTTGTTTGCTCATTTTAATAGAGGTGAGCATTTTAACAATACGATTAGCGAAAGAAATTATTTAAGATATTAGGTAATAGAAAGGCTTTAAATCAGCGCTGCCCAAGAAAAAATATCTCTTTCCAGTCAAATTTCTCTTTGCTTATTTAATTCAAGAACAAAACAGTGTTAAGTCATTATTTATACAAATATTTTTTTACCAATTGCTTTATAAATTATTTTGGCAGACATTCATGTTTAAAAACAATTAAACGGAATCGTAAAATATAAAGAAAAACGAATTTTAATTTTCTCTTAAATTATCTCTTTTTTCAGCTCATGTTTTAGAACACGGTTTTGAGCTGTGCTGCTTTAAATACTTGTTTTAATTGTTTATAGGAAGCCTATTTTTAACTCTCAAGTTTTGTTTGTCATTTTTTTTTTTTATTTTCAAATTCGATTTATTTTTACTATTCTCCTATCTTCTCTTAGAAGACATAATTCTCTTAACAACAACAAAGAACACTGTCACTACCAGTGGTAAACAAAAGATAATAGCATAGGCCAGCTGTGTTGTGTTATGTGTTATTCAGCAGCAGCAACAACAACAAAAACAAGTTCTATAAATAAACTAGTGGCACACTTGAGGCCTGTGTGCGCCAACAGACAAAACATGAAGCTAGTACTAAGCAATCACCAATGCTCGTTGGTTAAACTGTCTAAGCGGTTGCTTGTGATTTCAAAAAGGGCGCATACGAGTTCAAAACCCAGCGGCGTCGTCATTGTCACGCGGCATATTTAAATTTGTACTTTAAAATCTGAAACTTAGCGGAGGGGTAGTGTTTTTCCATGGATGCGATTTTTAACGGCATAATGCTCTGACTCTTGATAGTCAGAATATTTCCTAGCAAATCGCAGATTACCATTTACAATCGGCTATTGCCTCATTTCTGCTACGTTTGTCCAATAAACGATAGTGTCTAAGGCAATTTTCGAACAATATATTTTTTTAAAAGATTCAAAATTTGTATTTCACATTAAATGAATAAAAAATTTAAAATCTCCGATAATTTCAACTAAAAATTAATAATTCATACTTTTTCATTTCTTTGCAGCTACAACAAATTTTGTTGGCAAATTCACTCAAAGCGTTCGACGAATCGTCCAGGACGTCAAGGATGAAGGTGCACCTAGTAAGACACAAACCAACACACATCAGTCCAAAAACAATCACCCCTCACCGTAAATAATAAATATTCATTCGGTTCCTTCTATTTTTTAGGTGGCATGAGCCGCGAGGAGGTCATCGAGACAAACGAACGCCTTCGAAATTTACGCATACGTCTGGAAGAATCTTACGATACGGCCAAACAAGCTTTAATAACCCTCATGAATAAATATGGTGACTCGAAATCACAGCGTAATATTTTTCAACGTTATCCCATGCTGAAAATAATGATTAAGGTACCGAACGTCGTGTAAATGGGAACTTATTGTTCTAAATATTTTTTTTTTATTTATTCATAGGATGTAATTCGACTGGAAACGCAATATTGGGCCCTGATCGATATACCACGCCAGGAGAAACAAGAGACGGTACCCACCTATGTGATGCGTGCCTGTTCGATTATGGAAAAGACGCAGAAATCCGGAGAAGGTGTAAAAACCTCCGCCAAATTAGCAGAAGAAGCAGCGGAAAAGCGTGAACGCTTGGAACGATTGGAAAGTAAGAAAAGCATACAAGTATTAGGAGTCAAAAGACAAAAGTATTTAGGTCATGTTGAGAAATTGTTCACCAAAGTTTGGACTAAATCGCTGACTCCGTTCAGATTTTATGTAATTTGTGAGGGAGGAGACCTTTGCGCGAGAATTTTTAAGGAATATTGTTAAAGAAACGACAGGGATGTAAACGTGTTTTTTAAAGAATATTTTTAAGAAACGACAAGATAATAATCGTGTGTTTAAGAATATTCATTAATGGACAGGCAGAGCATTTGCCCTGGATTTTTTTTATCTTGATTTTTTAAAAGAATATATGTACAGATTCAAAAGAACTATAATCGAAATACAAAGACTATTTTTCAAAAACTATAGAAGCCATAAAAGGATTATCGAGACTATTATTTCGGTTTTTTTATTTAAATATTTACAAAAAATATATAAAAAAATAAGTGTGAGATTTTTAAAGGATAATCGCTATCAAAATATAGGAATTTAAAGGCGGCAACAAGATTCCTAAATATTCGTCATAGACTCCATAAAGTATATATATTCATGATCACCATAAACTTCGATTCAACATTGTCTCTCTGTCTGTCCGTCTGTCTGTTGAAATCACGATACAGCCCACATTATTTGACGTAGAGCAGAACAATTTGTAATGTGTCTAGGATGGTTGGTATTGAAAATGAGATATATCAGTCCAAGTTTTGGCATAGCCACCATATAAAGGTACCTCCCGATATTCGGTATTTCGTTGATTTTCGCCATATTTTTCAACGGATTTGTCTAAAAAATTGGTACTTGTGGGTCATAATAGGTTTTAGCTCCGGGGGCGGAACTATGTATGTATAATGGTACCCACTAACATTCGGTATTTTGATAATTCTTGTTACAATCACCCACGGGACTTTTTTCAAAATTGCATTTAAGATAACAATCCTTATAGTATAAAGTTTGGTATGTACCCCATATAGCGGACACACTCACTTTAAGTTTTTTTTTTTTTTTTTTTTTTTTTTTTTTTTTTTTTTGAAAAGTTTAACTGTATTATGCAAATGACAACGTCATTTTTTGTAATTTAAAGTGGAACACGGTTGAATTAAAATACTTCCATATAAAAATGTTTCTTTACCCAATGATGGAAGGTATTCGTCCGGCCGAACTTTGAATTCTTTGAATTTTTGTAGGGGAGGTACAAAATGGATTGAACGACATGTTATGGCTATTTAAAATGCTTCAAAAGTTCATTCATTGTGGTTAAGGTACCAGAGGGACTGTACCAATGTTGGCGATTTTCGGACTCAAGCTAAATCAGAAACCCCTTTCGATTTTATGAGATTTGTAATTGAGATTTTAATTGCGGAATGGTATGGGGAGAAGGAATTAACCGTTACGGGATATCTACGATTTATTTATCCAGTTTGAACAAAAAAAGGAGATTCATTTCACATTTCATATTTTTAACCATTTGTTAAGGAATCAAAAGGAGTGGGCGATACTCTTCATTATCTAAATGTTACAAATATAAACTAAATCGGACACTCTCTTTGCTTCATATAATTTTTACCATTTGTGGCGGTATTAGAATGGGAATTGTTGCCCATCTAAATGTAATTTGTAGGAAATATTTGACTAAATTCCCTTATTTTTTAATTGGCTATAAAAGGTTAAGATGAAAAGAACTAGGTTTGGAAGGACTGAAATAATTATATTTTTCCTGAATTCTAGTATCGCACGGCCTCTCTCTTGTCCTAGACTCTAACCGCAGTCAAATACCCCGTGGATTGGTCACCTCTTTAATATTCTGCGCACATCTCCAAAAACAATATTCTGATCCTAACCTCCAAGTAAAATTTCATTAAGATTGGACTCTAACTGCGACCTATAGAGTAATTACAAATTAACATGGACAGATCGATGGACATCGACTCATCTCAGCGCGATAGAATGGATGGATTCCGAATATCAGAAGGTACCGAAAGCGGAACCTGTATAGGCATTACTATGACGAACTCTAGATAAAGAACTTCAAACAATTCAGAAAATGTAGCTTAAATCCCAAAAACACCGAAAATGGGGAGGTACCTCCATATGAAAACGTGGCTCTATATATGCAATGATCTGGCGAAGGAGAAAGAACCCATTACGAACTCTAACTATCGAATTAAAAACTATTCTGTTAGAAAATATGACCTTAACCGTCAAACATGACTCATAATCGGAATTAAGCTGCCTACTGAAGAAATACAACATACGATTACAAGAACGGTCATCACTAAACCGATTTAGAATTTAACGCTGGTCAATTTTGGGTATTACATAAGTATAGAGCTAACATGAATATGCCCTCTATTGTATGGAGGAGGGTATAAAAACACATAAAATTCTGAAAATTTATAGAATATTTTTTTAAATTGATAGTACGGTTTTTACACTTTAATTTTTGAAGATTTTTTCATGCTAACGTTGACCGTGACTGCGCCTCAAAATGTTCTTCCCCTTAGTAAAATTTTGGCATACTCTTTCCAACACTTTGGCCGGAATATTACGAATAAATGCTCTAATGTGTCAAAATGTGTACAAATGCGTCAATAGCAGCGGGCTTGTCTGTATTGACATGAACCCATTGAGCCAAAAATGAGCTTTGTCGCTGAATACAATTTTTTCGATAAAAAAAGTGGATTTTCGGCCAGCTTTCAAAGAGCCCATTCACCAAAAGTTCTGCGTTGCCGTAGGCTTCAACTATTGCACCAGTTGTTAACAAATCGTAAATCAAAACTTCCAATAGTAAGTTTGTGTTCCCAGTATGTAGAGAACATCCTTGTAGCGAATTGTGTATATAGGTTGAAGTACCTCCTGATATTCGGTATATTCACGATTTTGGCCCATTTCCCCCGGGAATATTGTAAATGTTGTACTTAGAGTTCGCAATACGTCATATGACTTAGAATTGCCTAAATAGGTGTGAATTCCTTTATTCCGTATTTTCGCTATTTTAGCCACATTTTTCACCGGAATTGTTTCAAATTTTGTAACTGGTCTTACATAAGAACCAGTTGCTCCTTGGTGTCCTCGAATTGCCCCTGGTATAGGTATAAAAAGTTCGGCCCATCCGAACTTAGCTGCTGTTTTACATTCTAAGGTATCAACATTTGAAGACACTTAATTTCAGTAAAATTTACATTAAATGACTTAACCCATTATACCTATGTTAACACTTTGAAGCATTTTGACGACATAATTGGGTGAGATAAAAAACTGCAAGAACGTCAAACGCCATAATTTTTACATTTTTTTTTAATTTTATTCAATGGAAGCAAAAAATGTCGGAAATAGGATACATTTTTAGAATAAGTCTAGATTTGTTCGAATTGGTCACCTTTGGCACGAATTATGACCTTCAAACGCCCAATGAAACCGTCACACGCTGCCAATATTTTGGCCCATTTCCGGCGAAGCGCTTGCTTGGGGTGACCGACACTTTGGTATTTTTTAGTGCCAACCTTGCTTTCCAAAATACTCCAGACACAATAGTCCAGCGGATTGGTATTTTGATGGTCATTGTGTGCTGGAAATAAAGCGAGGAACCTCATAATTTTGTGGCGCGTGCTGAGTGCGATGGTGAAGAGCCCGGTTGGAATGTTCAAGGTCTGCGGCCAAAATGATTCTGTGCCCGAGGCTTTAATACACCGTCGAGAATATTTTCGCGATAATATTCTACATTTATTCTGATGCCACGGTCGATTAATACGAGCGGAGAGTGACCATCGGCTGTTATGGCGGCCCACACCATCACCATGGCCGGCGCTTATGTTCTGGTAGCCAACCGAAGGTGCAAATTTTCTGCTGACCTCTTTGTTTATTTACAAACTGCTGGACAACAAATGTTTTCTGTTGCGGTGTAAGTGCTTGCACTTTTTGGAATTTCAATGGCTTTACCCGAGCTCATTTTTTAATATTTGCCGAATGGAATATTGTGATATGTCCATTGTGACGCGGGTTTCGAGCAAGTCGCTTCTTGACTTTTCGAACCATTTCTGCTGATGTTGCTGTTTTCTTCCGCCCACTTCCTTGACGTCGGGCTACGCTACCAGTATCATGATAATGAGCGATGGTATGAGACACAAAAGATTTATTCACATTTAAATGCTGGAGTTCTCTAACTATAGCCGCTTGTGGTTTTCCAGGCAAATGTAAAGAAATCACGCTTGAATTCCATCACGAATAACTTTTTCTGGAAAATTCTCAACAAAATGATTTTGTACGCTTGTAAACAATATATTGAGCTGTCATTGGAATAATTTTAACAGCTGCCGGACGAGTGGCTTAGAAATGACAGCAGTTTGAAGTTGGTTGCAGTTTTTTCATCTCACCTGTATATTAATACTCTATTAAACTGTTATATAACTACTAAATATTAATTTTTTTTATTTCAGATATGACCACCGCACAAATTGAACATGAAAATAATCAACTCATAAATGATTTATATAGATTACTTAAGAAATATTTAGGCCTTAGACATTTAATAAGAGTACTGAAGGTGAGTACCAAATGGGGTTTTGCAGAGATGAATAAAAAAAATATATGTGCCAAGTATTTTATTCATCGCACAGTTAACTATTGACAATTTTTACTAACCATTTCTCATTTGTGTAAATAATTGTCTTCAATGTGAAATAATGAATTTTATTCGATGGTTTTTAGGAGGAATACGGAAGTTCAAAACTCTATCCCATCTTTCCGCGTTACACCATGCTCAAGGATATGATTAAGGGTATTATGCACGATCCCGACTATATGGAAGTATGTCATGAAATAACCAATTAAAATCGATGTTCATCTGTGTTAGTGTAAAGTGTTCGCATTATTTGAAGAGTTTTGTTTTTTTTTAAGAAGTTTCATGTTTTGTCAAAAGAAAACGAAAATACGAAAAATGATTCGCCAGATATGAAAGAAACATAAGGTTTATAAATGTTTTGTAGTATTAGTGTAATAGTAATGTAAACGAAAAAGAAGAAGAAAAGCAAAAAGAAAACCTCTATCAATGGCAAAATGAATTTTTGTGGAAAGAAAACCAAACAAAAAAATAACCTCATCTCTATCATTATGGAACAACAGGAATGGCACTATGGTATGATTCCAGCAATAATAATGATTTGTACTCATATGAAACGCACAGATTTCCAGACATAGAAGTACATATGTCTACCTCTCTAACAATGTTTAAATCTTCTGCAGGTCGGCATGAAGAAATCTCCTCAAAAAATCTATCTAAGAATGTAATGATAATGAATTTTGATGAACGTTGTAATGAGAATAATCGTCAAATCAAACCACCACATATCCATCATACATCCATGTCCTCATACCATTAAAACACTTATAACTGTTAACATATGTAACAGCAGCAGCAACATAAGAATTGCTTTATTGAATATATATCGTTCCTCAGTACTGTATTATATGTTTGCATGCATTTTACTATTATTTGTTGTTTGAAGCACATATGTGTGTTTATATAAAGAAGAATCGAATTAACAAAGAAAACAGCAATTAATTTTGACCACATCACACGCTTACTACCCTGCAACCCTATTTGCCTAGATTCGGTATTCAGACGATATATTGTTTTTCAGGAGTTAATGGTCGATATTTGAGATAATTCCAGAGGGTTATGTACTGATTAAGAAGCTGGGTGCAAAATTGAAATCACGTTAATAATGTAAAAATACCAAAAATTAAAAGTTAATATGGGGGTAATGCTGAAACTTGGACCCGTATTGATCATTACCATTCATTACGAACATCAAAAACAAATCTCGGACAGTTTCCTTGGAAAATATAGCTAGAACTATGGTGGCGGATTCGATCCATTATGGATCAGACTTCGACTCCGGATTGACTCGGAAAATATAATCCTTTTCATTTTATATCCTATTTTCCTTTTATAGAGTTATAGGGTGATAAAATTTAAAGCTACCATTTCAAATTTCAATCCATTCAAGGTATGCGAGGACTTTTGTTCTGAAATACCACACTGTGCTATTAGGTGTTATGTCTTTGTACATTTTTTTGTAACATGAAGAAATAAAAAATATGTAAGTTTGGCCGGGCCTATCTTTGAATGTCCTCCACCATTTGGAACGAATTTGACAATTTAAAAAAAAAAATAATAATAAAATAAAATTCGTTAAAAATTCTATTAAAATACCGAATGTAGCCGTTAAATTAGATTCTATACATGGACCTATATAGGCAACTTTTGTCATAACCCATTATAATATTCAAACGCTAAACTTGAAAAAAATTGGTGAATAATGTAGCTAAAATCATCAAAATACCGAATATAGGGAGCTATCGTTGTTTTAGGGCTATACGAAGACGGGAACCTGCACAGACAATTTTCTGTCATAGGCCGTAGCATCTATTACGAATTTCAAATACCAAATTTGAAACATTTCCGGTGAATAATGTCACTTAAATCACCAAAATACAGAAAAAGGGAGGTATCATTATGTGGGGGCTATACCAAAACGTGGACCTTCAATACCAAAAGTCCTGCAGACATAATACACATTTGAGTAAATTTTTATCAACCTACTTAATTTCGTTCGGAAGCTAGAGTGACTTCCACAGACGGATAGACGAACAGACATCAACATAGAATTTTATGCTGATAAAGAATATATGTACTTCGTGGGGTCTAAAATGTATATTTCGAGTTGTTACAAGCGGAATGACAAACTTAATATACCCTCATACTATGGTGGAGGGTATAAAAAGGAGAAGAGAGACTCATTTTTGAGGAACCTTCTAGAATCACTTTCTGAGTTGTTTTATGGATGTCTATCATCCTCTTGCCCGACCTGCCTGTCTGTCCATTTTTGTTTGACTTTTGAACGATTCTTATTGTTTAGTAGTAGAAGCTTAGTAAAAATGGAGCGCTGTGAACAATGCATTCTCTACGTGAAATTGTTTTACAAAAATTGTGAAATTTTTGCGGCTGCAGTTCGCAAATTGCGATCTATTTGAGGTCACAATAATGCTCCAAAAGAGTCAAATGTAAAGATATTAATGGATAAATTAGCTGAAACTGGGTCTATTAGTGATCTGCAGATAACAACGAGCCTTCAACCAGCCAAGGAGGGTTGGAGGAATCATCAGACATTTTTTTTTTATAAAAATAAGGCAGGTCAAGCCAAACAGTCAACGCAGTCAGTGCATTATGGTGAATTTATAACCAGTTTTTCTTTCCAAGAATTGAAGAAAGGGATGTGGTGGGCATGTGACTTCAATAAGACGGTGCCAAATGTCATACAGCCAGAGAAACGATTCAATTGCTGCATCAGTGATTTTCCGGTCGTGTTATTTCGTGTTTTAGAGACCAGAATTGCGATTTAACGCCTTCAGATTGTTTTCTTTGGGGTTATTTGAAGTCAATGGTTTCCACAAATAAGCCTAATAGATATTGATCATCAGATTTGTTATACTTGTTCTCCATTGCCGTAGTATGCACTCCGTAACAACCATATTCGGGGAAATATATCAAAAAAAAAAAAAAATACTTTTGATAAATTTTATTGAGATCGGTTCTGATTTGGATACACCTCCCATATCTATTTTTACCCGATTGTAAGTTAATTGTGCACCAAATGGCCAATTTATGCCCAAATGACTGAATTGTGGCACATACAACCGAATTTAATCTAGAAGCAAGTACATAGAATCCGAAGAAAATCGGTTCAGATATAGCTCTCATATATAGGTTTTATCCGATTTGTGGTTTAAGTCCCCTCACACGATATCGGATGCAGCCCAGAAATACCACTACTAAATTGTATTAAGATCGGTTCAGATTTGGATGTAACTCCTATATATAACTTCAACCGATTTCGGGTTAAATGTGCACCAAATGGCTAATATCAGTCCAAATTATACGAATTTTGGCACGACCTATCGAATTCAGTTTTGAAGTATGTACTTCAAATTTGGTGAAAGTTGGTTCAGATATAGATATAGCTCCCATACATATGTTTCATACGATTTGGTGTTTACGTCCCTCACATTCGTAAAATGCATTCGACAGCAATGATATTTGGTACTCGATTTCGTATGGAGCTCGGAATTTGGATTTAGCTACCATACATATCCTTAATCCAATTCATATTTATTGTGCAAAATAATATCAGCCATTTATTAATAAGCGTAGTGGTGTAGAATATCATATAGTTGGCCCGCCCGACTTTTTACTAGTTTTACTTCTCTTTACTGGTCCGTTCTCGTCGTGGCAAATTTGTTGTTTTGCTTTTCAGAACGATTCCATAGTTTTCGAAAATTTTATTGAATATCGATAATTCATTCTCTTTAAACCCACACACCTTCTTCGGTATGATGTTGTATTTAGGAACATTAAGTAATATTTATTTTGTGTAAGTGTATATGTTCCCTGTGACTGTGTACTACATACATATATGTATTCTATGAATGTGATATATTATGCTACCCTCATTAATTAATTACCCGTTTGCCCGTTTTTTTCCTTTTTCTTTAACAAATCGTTTTCTTTGCAGATAAGTATACCATTGGTTTTAAATACGACAGGACAAAGTTAATTTTGCTAATCATCAATCATACACCACCACCACCTACCTACCTACCTACATTCACAAAACCCCAAAAAACCCACAATTGAATCCAGCTTGTTTTAATTTGATGGCAAAAAAGAAATCGTACATTGCTTTGGTAAAGAAATAATTATATTTTTCATGCACACACCTCTAAAAATATTTGATTTTCTTTTATTGATTTTATAGAACTTATTTTGTTTTGTTATTTTTCCTTACCATTCTATACTAGCTTGTAGAACAATTAGTAATAAATAATTATTGGAACAATTGAGTGAAAACTGTGTTCCTAAATAGAAAAAAATACATGAATTAAAAATAATTTTCCATAGCTTACAATCAGCTGCTGTTGTTATTTCTTTAAGAAAATTTTAAGCATTTCACCTATCAAAGCGGCAAAAAGAGGTTTCATGTCAAATAATTTTGGAAATATTTTAAGTTCAGAAAATAATTGGCAATTTGTAAAGTGTTCTCCTCATCTTTGGAAAAAAATCTTTGTTGGCATTTCACTTATTTTAACAGTTTAATGACAACATTAAAAACCAAGCCCAGAAAGACATTTCAATATTGATAGCCCTAACAATAGCATCTTATTTGTATTTAGAATCAAAAATAATTTCAAATATTTTTTGATTTGAAACTCCTGTGTCACTTTTCATTCCTCTCCACAAATCATATAGCATTAAATAAATAATTATAAAAAAATTAAAAATTAGCATAGTGAAATAATTACATATATATTTATGTTGTTGAAAACGCATTTATTTTGTACTACAACTCGAATAACGATAATATTGTTTTTTTTTTTTTTTCAAAACCATAATAATATTGAAGAATTTAGATAAAACAATATACATACATATATGATACTTATATAGATAAACACAATACTTTGTACGTAGCTATATGAAGATAAATTAAAACAAAAAACAATATAAAACTTCCAAAGAACTTTTAACATATCCCAAAACAAATTTAATTTTAAGATTTAAACTCTCTTATTTTTTTTTAATTTTAAATTTTTATTAATTTTTAATCTTCCATATTTCGTAAAAATCAACGCTTTTCACTTTCTTTGTGACGTAATATTAAACTGAAAAGATTGGTTATCAAATATCGTAATTATTCACTGCAATAAACCATAACATATTTGTTTTGTTTGGTTAGAGGATGTTTAATCATACGGATTTGACCATACATTCCATCTATGATAGTTTTTCAAAATAATGGAGTAGACAGATGTGCAGTGATCTAGAAGTTCTTTCTTGTACATAAAATGAAACATTAAATCTAAGATGATACCCTACAACACTACAATATGTTCGAAGTCCCCTTATGGAATATTTCGGTTTTAAAATAACGTCAAAGGGCCCTGCCCAGGTATTACCCTTAGGTTTTGACCCAAAGAATTTGGTCAATGTTTACACAATCCGTTGTGTTGTTAGGTATTCAAAACAATTTTACACGAAAGTTATGGTCCATTTTATAGCTAAATATAATCCAAAAGTCATTCAAAATGGCGGAATTTTTCCCTGTCCTTAACTGTCTTCTCATGAAAAATTCCGTTGAAAACCAATTTCAATTGTGACCTGTAAAGCGACTGCAAAATCAGAAAAATTTAATTTTGTTGGTCCATTTGAACCCCTAAATGCACATGTTCAAAAAATAATAGGGGTTACACTAGCCCCATGCCGAATTTTGTGAGGATAGGACGGTAATTGCAACCTGCATGAAATACACTAAACACATAGTGTTGCAGGGTGTAGAATAACGTTAGAAAATGTATAAAATCATAATTGAAATTTAAAAAAAAATTGCATGTGATAAAAATATGACAAAAAATCAAAAAATGTAAATTCACTTTTTTATTGCCATTTTTGAACCGATTTTCTTTTCCGACTTGAGAAGAATTTTGAAAATCAACCCAGCGGTTCTTGACTTATAAGCAGAATAACTATAATATATTCCTTTACGTATACATTGTGCATAGTTTGCTATATATCCGATATCTTGGCTATCAGCATCCTTGTAATGGTCTGAATGGACCTTTTACTTTTTTGAGATTTTACCGAACTAAAAATATTTGCGGTTTAGCGGAAATGTTGGGTTTTTTTATGGTTTATTTTACCAGCTAAATATTGTCCGATGGCCTTCGAAATTGGTAGGCTTCTGCCCAGCTCTAAACGATAATTCCATGTAAATTCCGCATCCTTGCATAATTGTGGCCTGTAGAGCAACAGAAAAAGCAAAAACCAATGGGCTTCTTTCCTTTTAAATTTGGTGAGGATCGGGCCATAATTGCGATCTGTATGTTACAAATTAACATGGACAGGCGGACGGACGGACGGTCATAGCTAGATCGACTCAGCTCAGCGAGATAGAAAGATCCATACATAGTTTCCTATGACGTGGACCAATATTTCGAAGTGTTACATAATTTTTGGGTCAATCAAACTTATAACACCCCAACACATAGTGTTGTAGGGGCAAGATGTATCGTCAACGTCATCATATTAAGAGATGTAATATTCGTCGAATGAACTTCGAAAGAAAGAAAGCTAAAAAGGAAGTAGTTATATTCTACGCCACATTGTGGTAAGGGTATTATGTCTATGTTCATTTGTTTGTAACATGGAGAAGGAAGCGAGATAGACCCATAATTACTTTTGGAATCTTCATAGAATCACTTTCTGAGTCGATTTATGCATGTCAGTCAGTCAGTCTATCCGTCCATATATTCTTGTGAACAAAATGCAGGTCGCATTTATTACACGATTGAGATGAAATTTTACAAATAATATTTGTTTGGCCCAAGGACGAACCCTATTGAAATTGGTGATAATGGGATCAGATTTAGATAAAGTTCCCTTATATCTTCAACCGATTTCGGGTTGATTGTGAACCAAGTTTCCAATATCAGTCCAACTGACCTGAATATTGGTACATCCCCCCGAATTCAGTCTAGAAGCAAGTAAAACTAAGTTATAGCTCCGTATATATATATATATATATATATATATATATATATATATATATATACGGAGCTATAAATATATATATATATATATATATATATATATATATATATAGCTCCGTATATATATATATATATATATATATATATATATATATATATATATATATATATATATATATATATATATATATATATATATATATATATATATATATATATACGGAGCTATAACTTAGTTTTACTTGCTTCTAGACTGAATTCGGGGGGATGTACCAATATTCAGGGCAGTTCGACTGATATTGGAAACTATATATATATATGTTTCATCCGATTTGAGGTTTCAAGTCCCTCACGTGCGTAATATGCACTCCAGGAGAATGATATTTGGTACCGGACATCACATACTGCTCGAAAATACCTCTGTCAAGTTTTATCGAGATCGGTTCTGATATAGCTATAGCTCCCATATATATCTTTATCCGATATGAGGTTTATTGTGCACCAAATGGTTAATATCAGCACAACTGAATTTTGGCACTTCCGACCGAATTCAATATAGAAATAAGTACTTCAAATTTAGTGGAAATCGGTTCAGATATAGCTATAGCTCCCATATAGATATGTTTCATCCAATTTGGGGTTTAAGTCCCTCATATTCGTATCTTAGAGAGCTCGGAAATACTTCTGCCAAATTTTATCGAGATCAAGTCAGATTTGGATATAGGTTCCATATATATATTCAACAGATTTCACGTTAATTGTGCACCAAAGGGCCAAAATCTGTCAAAAAGTCCTGAATTTTGGTTCAGATATGGATGTAGGTTCCATATATATCTGCAACCGATTTCAACCTATTGTGCAAAAAATGGCTAATATCAGTCCAAATGGAGTGAATTGCGAGACGTACGTTCTTATTCGGTGCAAATTGATATCATGCCCTCCATAACAAACTATAACTGCTTTAAAGCCAAATGTTGATAGGTGGTATGATCAGCTTGAAATAATTTATTTTGTTACGGGAGCCCTTCAAAATACGCATAGTGGTGTAGGGTATCATATAGTCGGCCCCTCCCGACTTTTGACTTTTCCTTACTGCTTAAAATATTTATATAATTTGACCAAACTGAAAATTGAAAGAAAGAAAAAGTATTTCAATTAATTTTGAACATTGCGTCTTCCCTAACACTCAAAGATCCAAGAAAGAATATATTGATTAATATATAAAATATTGAATTATGCGTAGATTGGAGGTGTTCAAAATTTCTGCGCAAATTATTTTTAATTGTTTTTTTAAATTATTTATTTAAAAAACTATATACATATGAGCTTAACAAAATACATACACATATATACCTACTTTTCTGTACTCCTTCGTTGCCCTACTACTACTAATTTAATTGGAAGTGAATGAAATTAAACCATAAAAAATGGAAACCGTAAACGTATCTACATACATATATCATATATGTAATAAATACAAATCGTATAATCATATAGAGTATAATAAAAAGTCAGTATTAACCAAAAAATAATAATTAAAAGAAAAAAATAATAAATACCTATAATAGATAAAGCAAAACAATTCTAAATGACTTTTGTAATAAAAATACGCTTAAAATTACATATTATAAACTTGAAAAACAACAACAACAAGAAAATAAAATTTTGATATTGATGTTTTTTCTATAAAAGCGAAAAAGAAATAAAACTATAACAAATAACAATACAAATTGAAAGAGAATAATATTATTATCTTTAAACAAAAATAAAACAAGTAAACGTGTGTTTAATAAATAAACTAAAAATAAATTAATCAAAAACTACATAAATGACATATTAAATAAAACAAAAATTATTTGTAAGCCTACCTTAAAAAAAAAAAAATAACAAAACAAATATTAAACAGCTTTCCATGATAAAATCGAAAAATAATTGAAAATAAAATATATTCATAAATTGTTGCTTGATTTTATTTAGGTTATATACAAAAAGGAAATTTCGGGTGATTTTTGAACACTGTTCTAGAGATTTGCTTCCAACTTATTTGATGATCAACATAGAATCACATTTTGAATCGATGTACGCATGTCTGCCCGTCTGTCCATGTATTTTTGTAAACAAAATGCAGGTCACATTTATTATTCGATTAAGATGAAATTTTCTAAATAACATTTGCTTGGCTTAAGGACGAATTGGTGAAAATCGGCCCAAATTTAGATATAGCTGTCATATATATCTTCATCCGATTTTAGGTCATATATATCTTCATCCGATTTTAGGTTTCTTTTG